ATTTTCTGGTCTTTATACCAACAATCAGCCTTTATATGCCCGTATCGCTTGCAATGATGACATTGAATGCCATTCTTTGTGTTACCTTGTTCATTGGACTGCCTATACCCATCATTCCTTCCTTTGCCTCTTCTATAACCGCGACCACGACCTCGACCACCGCAAAATCCTCCTCTTCCTCGACCTCTGCTTGTTGGAAAATCATTTTCTCCATATTTGGTGGTTGTGTCTTTTACTTGGATTGCCTTATCGTCATTCTTCTCTATCGATCGATTAATTCTCACCTCATGAGCTTGAAGAGATCCCATCAATTCATCAACAGAAAGAACTGATAGATCTTTTGCTTCCTCTATGGCAGCAACTACATGATCAAATTTTGATGTCAAGCTTCTCAAAATTTTAGCAACGATCGTTTCATTTGAAATCTTCTCATCATAGGAACGCATTTGACCGACTATTGCCATTGTTCGTGACAAAAAATCAGCAACTGGTTCACCATTCTTCATCATCAAGGTTTCAAAGTTACGCCATAGTGATTGCAACTTCACTGCCATGACCTTTGAATCACCTTGAAATTCTTTTTGTAAGATTGACCATGCCTCTTTCGATGTGGTTGCTGCTGCAATCCGTGAGAAAATAGTCTCATGGACTGCTTGTTGAAGAATGAACAACGCCTTGGCATCTTTATTCTTGATTTCTTTCAGATTCTCCTCTTCCTCTTCATTGGGTTCAAATATTTCTATGAACCCATACTCCACCAATCCCATAGCTCCTGCATTTGAGCAATGTCTTCACCTTGATGCTCCACCACTCATATTTCTCACCATTAAAAATGGGTATGAGTGGTTGAGAAGAAGAAAATCCAACTAGTGCTGCCATTGTTGTATAGTTTTTTTTTAAAAGCCAAAGTAACTCTCTACCTCTCTTTCTCTGTGTTTCCCTGAAAGACCTAAAAAAGAAATATCACTCAACACCCAATGAACCCAAGTTGATCGCTCAAATGCCCACAAGACCGCAATGGCTCTAATGCCAAATTTGTTGGGCAGAGAGTAGAAAATAAGCAGAAACAGAGAAGAAAGGAACTTAAAGCTGTCAACTTTGTTTCTAATATTGCTTGACTTGAATAGATAACAACATATGCCCACATATATATAGGCTGAAAGAAACAAAACAGACCTATTATCTAGGACCTGTAACCCACTAATGCACTTTATTAGCAAAGCTAACTTGACTTGAGTAAATAAAGGAAACTACTTAACAGAAACCAATAGACTAGTTCAACCAAACTATCCATTCCGAATTTACTACACAGTAAAGTTTTGAATCACTCTTCAACAATTGGTTATCTTCAAGAAGAGTAGTGAGATTCAAGTGAGTAAACTAGTCAGATTATGGAATGCAGAGGGGTTTGTTAAGGTAAAGAGGGACGAAAGCTTCGAAATGGTGGTAGAGAAATATTTGAAAGATCTGGTTGACAGAAGCTTGATTATTGTCAATATGTTGAGTTTATTTGGAAAAATTAAAAGTTGTGGACTTCATGATATGGTACATGGATTTTGCTTGGAGGAAGCTCAAAATTAAAAGCTGTGGACTTCGTGTTTCAAGTTGCTAAGAGTATTAGATATAACTTCAGTGACGCTCGACTAATCAAAATTGAGATAATGATAGTTTTGTTTAACCAAAAATAGAGATTTTGGTCAAAGCTTTATTTTAGAAGAACTCGGGTTACTGATAATTAAATATATAGTGAATAAAAGAAGTTGACTTCAATAAGCAGAATAAAGCAAAATAAATCAGTATATTGCAATAGTATTTCGTGTCATTACAAATGTTCAATCTTTCCCTTTTATAGCTATCTCGAAGTAATACATTTTTCCTTTATCATAATAGAGTCTTTATGATAATTAATGGCATTAATGTAACATTATAATTTGGTAATCATAACCGATTCAATACAAATTCCATAACGCTTTCCGTAATTAATGCCTATTAATGACCAATAATATGTATATGTACCTCTTTTGCTATTTAAGTTCATTCTTCTGATATAACTGCTGAATATCAATAGGTACGAGCTTTTATCTTTCCTCAGCCCGTGCCTGTTGAAGCTCGTGCCTTTTTACTTTGCCAATCAGTCACTTTTCTACTAGTCCACGTTTCATGATATAT